ATTTTTTGAATTTTATTTTAATAAAGTAAATAAATAAGAATGGGCCAAAAGCACAAATAAATCCACAAGGTGCCGCACAAAAATCCGAAATTGTACCGCGGGGCCAATTATATATTTTTTATTTCTTTTTGGAGCGATTGTCGTGTGAAGCAAAAATCACGTGCTCACAACGGCAACACTCTTCGCGCTTTTACTCTCTTTCCTCACCATATAATCAATATAATCGGCACGGAATGGTACATCGTGCGGCACGACATCACCCTTCGTGCTTTACACTCTTTCCTCACAAATTATACACGACATCACCCTTCCTGCCTTATACTCTTTCCTCACAAAAACAATGCACGACATCACCCTTCGTGCTTTAACTCTCTTCCTCACCCAAACAACAATCATAAACAATCGGGCAAGGGAATAAATGAAATCATAATAAGAATCCCGGCAAGGGAACAACATTTCAACAATTTAGTCCCGGTAAGGGAACAACATCAATAATATCAACATCCCGGCAAGGGAGATAACAAATAAAGCAACAATAACCCGACAAGGGTGGCGACATAATGATATCTTCTCTTTCTCACTTTTATTTCACAATTCACTTCACAACTCGAGCCAATACTCTAGAGGTTCAATTATCATTTATACTTTCACAATTCACTTCACAACTCGGGCCAATGTTCATAGGCCACAATTACTTCCACAAACTTTACACAACAAATAGAAATCTTCACCAAGGTATGAAAATACAACGAACTCATGAAAATCACAATATAAGACTCACGAGCATGCTAGACACCAGCGTATAGATACTCGTCACCATGCCTATACGTCGTACTCCACAATTACCACATAGCAAATAGGACTCGACTCCTAATCCCTCAAGCTAAGGTTAGACCAAAAACTTACCTCGATGCCACGAACACAATTCACGTTTCAATTATAGCTTTACCCCTTGATTCCACCACCAATACGCTCGTATCTAGTCACAAGTTACTTAATTACATCAATAAACGCTAAATGAATCAATTCGAATGCATGAAAATGAATTTCCCAAAGTTTTACCCAAAAAGTCAAAATTCGCCCCTAGGTCCACATGGTCAAAACCTGAGGTTCGAACCAAAACCCGATTACCCATTCCCCTACGAACACAAATATATAATTTATTTTGAAATCGGACTTCAAATCGAGGTCCAATCCCCAATTTTTGAAAAAAACTCTAGGTTCTACCTAATTTTCTCCATGAAAATCATTGATTTTGAGTTGAAATCATATTAAAAGATGTTAATGATTGAAGGAAATGAGTTAAAATTAACTTACAATCGATTTGGAAGAAGAGTTGTTCTTGAAAAATCGCCCTAGGGAATTTGTGTTTTGAAAAGATGTGAGAATGGGTTTAAAATTCGTCTAAGCATAAAAGTTGCAGGTTGCAGATATGGGAAATGTGAACAGGGATTCGCATTTGCGAACATGGGTTCGCATTTGCAAACAAGGGTTCGTATTTGCGAACCCCGACCTCTACTGGGTTGGGAAATGCGAAGGGAGGCTCGCATTTGCGAGCTGGGAATTGCAAACCAGGCATCGCATTTGCGATCACTGGCCAAATTGGGAAACTTCGCATTTGCGAAGATCGTCTCGCATTTGCGAGAGGGAGCTGGTCTGGGCTTCTTTCGCAATTGCGACAAGCCGCTCGCATTTGCGATATCTCATTTGCGAGCCAGGCTTCGAAACCTTTGTATATGCATCCCGTGGCCTATCCAAAACTCACCCGAACTCTCGGAGCTCCAAACCAAATATACACACAACCTCAAAAATATCCTACGGACTTATTTGTATAATCAAATCACCAAAATAACATCATAAACATCAAATTAAACCTCAAAATCAATGAAATTTCTCAAAACTTCTTTAAATATCAAATTTGCATTTAAGGTCCGAATCACATCAAATGGATTCCGTTTCTTACCAAACTTTACCGACAATACATATAAATCATAGTGAACCTGTACCGGGTGCCGGAACCAAAATACGGGCCCGATACTATCAAATTCCACATAACATTTCACTTTCAAAAACCTTTATATTTTTTCAGAAAACAATTTCTTTCAAAAAATTCATTCCTCGGGCTTGGGACCTCGGAATTCGATTCCGGGCGTACGCCCAAGTCCCATATTTTCCTACGGACCCTCCGGGACCGTCAAATCATGGGTCCGGGTTCGTTTACCCAAAACGTTGACCGAAGTCAAACTAATTTATTTTATAGTCAAAATTTATCATTTTTCATAGATTTCCCCTTATAGCTTTTCGGCTACGCGCCTGGACTGCGCACGCAAATCGAGATGATGCTAAAATAGGGTTTTAAAGCCTCAGAATGCCGAATTTCATTTTAAAATAAGTAATGACCTTTTCACAGTTTTGCGAAAGTTTAAACTATATACTAAGTGCAACATCAACCGAAAAATCTTTCCCTTTTTGTTGATTTTGTGTGCACAAGGAATTAATAAAATCCCAATTATTTTCTTATTTGTTCCAACTCTTTCAAGAAGATGATATCACTATTATGATGTACATGTGGTCTTTCTTTTTCTTCATGTAACTTGACCATGTTCTGCGAAAATCAAACAGCCTTTAGTAGTCTTTATTATCTACTGCACAACGTGGTGTGATACGTTTATTTCCGGAAGCTATCATTGTCAAGTTGTATATGTATCAGTTGAACATATGAACCTTTCTAACCAAAGCCATCTTGCTAATCTAGAGGTCTGCAGAGCTTTAGTTTTGTCCATGTGAATTATTGCTGGTGTGTTATTCTCTATTTTGTTATTTCTCACTTAGTCAGTTCGTGAAATAAATGCACATTTCATCCAAATTACTGTCGTCTCTAACATAATAACCCTTCAGTTTATCTTTATCCATAGTGCTTGAAAATTAATTGCTTGAATTTTTGTTCTTTAATTTCATTGTTTGGCCAAACTTATTGAAAATATATTGACTTCTATGTTGGGCCCGGGCGTTGCACCGGAAATGCCTATCTAGTACATATGATAAGACATTCCGTGAGCTTAGATGTATAGAAGAAGGATTTGCTAAATTGTAAACTATATGTTAAGCTCAACATCAATCGAAAAATCTTCCTTCCTTTTTGTTGATTGTACGTGCATAAGGAATTAATAAAATCCCAATTATTTTCTTTTTCATTCCAATTCTATCAAGAAGATGATATTTGCAACTGTGTACATTTGATCTTTCTTTTTCTTCTTCTAACTTGACCATGTTCTGAAGATATTTGCTGAAAATTCTCTTTTAGTAATCAAAACGTTACAATTCAAATCGCATGTGTTCTCAAATCAAGAAGACCATTATCGCCTATTTAGCTTTTCCTCTATTTAATTACATTTAAAACGAATAAGATATAATTAATTAAACTGAAATTCTATTGGTACATTAGGGTTATATCAAGGCGCAGTTATCATTTAATTAACAAATGTCAAGTAAAACTCACATGAATATGAATCCAATTGTAGTAGAAATGAAGATGAAAGTGAAAAACACATTAGCTTATAACATTGTGAAACATTCATCTGAAAAAGGAAGTCCATCAATAACATATGTTGAAACAACTTATTAAATAGCCTTAGATGATACTATCAATGTATCTTTCCTGAAACATAATTTAAAATCAGATTTAAACGAACCCGAAACAGATTACATTTGGAAAAGTGATTCAACAATTAAAGCTACATGACTCTATTTAGGTTCTTGAAATGGCGAGGTTTATATTGCTTCACCAAAACATGTCCTGATCCAATATAAAATCTGGCAACGTCACAGCCTCTTCTCAAAACCAAAGCACAACTGGAGGTGTTTTTGAACACAACTTTTCCAAATGTGGGATCCTTTCCCTGTTCCCTGAATGTGAAAACATCCTCCACACAATTCCCACATTTCCTACATAAATAACCAAAAAAGTCCAATTACTTATTTGGAGGGAAATGGGATCGAGAATCTGAAGAAATTAAAGAAACCATTCAATTTTTTACTTATAAGGAATTTCGTGTTATTTTTGTTGAATTTATTAAACTCGTATCTTGTTTCGATTATATTATCTTAATTTGTTTTTAGTTATAATTCTAAACTAAGAAGTATTGACGTATACATGCCTTTGTTCTTTTGTAACATACCTATTGAAGAAATTAATGATTTGTCTCCTGGAGATTGGATAACCACGAGAGAATGTCATGAACAATGAACGAGTTGCCTCAGATGAACTCCATTCTTTGGCAAAAGGGTTTAGCTTAGAATTCAATGCCAAATTCAGCTTCTCTTCTTCAGTCATATTATTCTTTGTTTTTTCCTCCAATTTAACTTCAAAACCATCACAACAAAATGTATCATAGATTAATGATATCTCTTTGTTCACTTTCTCTTTGTTCGAAATGATTTCTTTAAGGGAAAGAGGACTCAGAAGTTGAGAAGTGAATGGACAAAAATCTTGAGAAATAGATGATGATGATGAGTTTGATGCTAGAAAAATTAAAGCTATTTCAGCTTCAGCATAAAGGCTTTTGAAAAACTTTTCATCACAAATAGAAATCTTATGGTTAAATTTATGAGACTCCAAAAACATCCAAAAAGACATGACTTTTTTAGATGGTTGAATTTCAAACCCCACCCTCACCATCCTATGGAAAATCTCTTTTTCAGTTTCACTAACAAATGCAAATGACAGTTTTCCCATGATGTTAAACAAGATAGAAGAAAGGATTAAGGAAGAGGAGGAAGTGATGAGAAATATACATATGCAAAACAAAGGCCAATAAACCTATTTATAGTTGTGCTCTAGGAGTCAAAGTGAGGCAAAGATTGAATTTTCAAGATTTCATTAATAAGGGAATCTTGTATTCTTGTAATTTTTTGGGAAAGTAATTTATTAGTGTTTTGAGACAAGGAATGCAATATAGTTATTCATAATTCAGTTTCTAAGATTTCCTTTATAAGGGAATCTTGTATTCTTATAATTTTTGTGGAAAATAATTTATTAATGTTTTTGAGGCTATTGTATTGAGACAGCTCGTGCAATATACTTATTCCTAAAATTTATTATTTTCTTGTAAACTTTGATTGGGGCCTATTAGTGACATTATATTGTCAAATTAGGCTCTTTTTTCCATAAAAAATAGGCTTTTAATTTCAGAATATAAGAATGTTTACGTGTTCCTTCAGAAATTGCACACTGTTATTAAATATTTAGTTATTTCTTTTTAAGCAGAATTGTACTTTTGAGATAACGATTAACAAAATGATATTTTATAGTATGTAAATTTGTGCAAAATAGATTTTGGATGACTTGATTAGGAAAGAACATAAAAAAGTAATCTCAAATATCAAGTGTTTACCAAACATAAATAATGATAATTATTAGGCACTACCAAAAAAATTGAATTGGAGCTTATTACCATAATTTTGACTAATCAATTGTTTTTAAATCACTAATTAGTAACTACGTAAATGAGTTACTTTGACCAAATCATAATGAAATGTACAATTTGATGGAAGTGGTTTATCTTCAACTTCTTCCCAGAAGTGAATAGTTTCGAGTTGTAAACTACTTATATACAAACCTGATTTCTTCCTCTTATTTTGAAAAGAAAATATCTCTATACAATTTCAAACCTTTAATTAAGCAGAATATGATCTTGCCTAATTATAGGTTTTAATTAAGTTATTATATCTCATAGATAATTGAAATGAAAGTTTATTCGTGAAACATGTTCATGTCCTGTCATTAACATTTCAGTTGTAATAAAGTCACATGGAGTACTAGTTATGTCAAGATTGATTATGCGGTGAATAATTAGAAATTATATCAATAATCACACATAAAATATTATGTAAGAAACTACATATTTTAAGAATATTTTTATCTTCAAAACTCTTATATATAACTCGAATATGTATTCCCATTTCATATTTTATCGATCTCTCACAAAATAACACTACTAAATTCACTCAAAAATCATGCCACTATTAGTTTAATAACGTCAATCAGATATTTTTAGCTATGCCTATATTTTCTTTTTAGCTATGCCTATATTTTTAGCTATGCCAAATAAACAATAAAAATTGAATTTCTTTTGGTTTCTTATTACTGTGCTAGCTTTGAAACTCGACTAATTAGAACACACACAAAAATCTCATTATCGCACTATATTATAAGTATGAAGATCAAAAATCGAATGTGAAAGAACGAAATGATCCTATAATATTATTTAACTTTTATGCGCTTAAAAGTTATATTAATAATACCTTCAATATTAATAAACAAAATACGTAAGCTACAAAAGCTAGTTTTCTAACGTTAAATTTAACTTGGGATAGTTAAAGAATTTATTAACATACATATAGCTAAATTCTTCACTTTACAAAGTTTTTTTTTTTTTTTGGGTCAAGCATTATATTATATATTAAAGAAAACTAGTTAGTTGTCCGATACAGTGGATTTTTGTGGTGTACTAATCACCTCCACAAACAAAGAGTAGTCTCTTGCTATATTAAGAATATTACAACCCCTTGTCTTTCTTTCAAAAATAGTTCCTAAGTTATTCTGTCCATAATATTTCATTGACAAACATCGAAGGAACTACTAAAAAGTTTGTTCCCATTTTTGCCTGCTTCTTTGCTTCCTTTGCTAGCTTGTCTGCGACCCTATTTGCCTCTCTATAAATATGGCTTACTGGTGGATGCCCCGATGCTGCTAGGAGTGACCTGCATTCACAGACCATAGTATCATAAATCAGGTAACATTTGTTTATACAGTGTATTACCTCAGTTGAGTCTAAGTTAACTTTCAAAAGAAGGAGGCTTTTTGAAACTTCTATCTTTAGTCCCTGCATAAAAGTTGTTAGCTCTGAATGGAGTATATTAATTCAATTAATTTTTTCATGAACCCCATTACCCATAGATGTGCATGGATCGAATCGGATCGGATTTAGTACATTTCATATTAAAAATTCGGATTTCGGATTCTACAAAATGCAATCCGATCCGAATTAATAGCGGATCGGATCGGATTTTAAACTTCGCATCGGTTAATATTTTAGATTTTTCGGATCAGATTGTACGTATTATTAAGAACTTTTTCTTTTATCCCTTTTTGCCTTTTCCATTTGTGGTATTGGTTAGGCAAATAGATTAACTGCAAATCACCTTCACATGGCCACTTTTTGCAGACAAAGATTCAGTAGTTTTCTGGATTGAAAGACAAATCTGAACAAGGATAAACAGCTAAGGACTAAGACTTTGTTGCAGTGACGGGAACTAAAGTCAGATAGGGAATAAAGCTTCAACAAAAACTAATTCTCCATGATTATAATGTTTAAATCTGCTTAAGATTGTAGGCATCGTATTTTGAGTTGTGTGTCAAAGTAAAATGTTGATATCTCAAAATGCCAGTAAACATGACCGAATCCTATGACCCTAATCATATTAATAGTGTGTATCATCGTCTGTCAAAGTGCCACACACAAAAGAGATAGAGGAAGCGAGCAACAGTCTCGGACTCTTGGTCTCTCAGAGTTGTAACACAGAGAAGAGTAGAAGACTGAAGAGAAGAGAAAATAAAATAGACCTAACCCTAAAATAAATGTTGGTATTTATACTTGCCCTAATAATTCCGGATTTTCGAACGAGTTAAAATTATACCAATCCGAATCCGATCTGAATAAACTAAATCTGAATCCGATCTAAATATCCAAAATTTGAAATTGAGCGGATCGAATCGAATTTCGGATATCCGATCCAAATGCACATCCCTACCATTACCCAGTCTCCATTGCTATTCCTAATTACCCCTCCTAAACCTCCCATTAGTCCTTTTTGGAGGGTTGCACCATCTGTGTTAAGCTAATAAGAACCCTTTCTTGGTGGATACCATTTGACTCCAATTACAAAATCAGGTACTCTTGTTGTGCAACCACCTGCCACATGTATGAATTCTACAACTTTAGTTATAACACTCTTACAGGGAATTGACTCTCTTTTGTTATTGAGACAATTTCTATTCTTGGTGATCCATATATGCCAGAGGTAGAAGGGAAGCAACTACCCCCACTTAGGAAAAATCTGATTGTTAACCCTGTTAATGGTGCATTCCCACTAGTTTTGACCATTTAAAATAGAGGGGATGCTAAGGGTATTTTGGATCAGTTGGGAGACGTTATCCTAGAACTGCTTAGCATTGTCACAACTGATGAGGACATGTTCTATAGTTTTCTCCTTCTTATTACAGAAGGAGCACACATGACTTAAGTTTATCCCCTGGAGTGAAGGTGTTTTCTAGTAGTTAGTCTACCATGGGTCACTAGCCATATTGATATCATTGACCAAGGATTATGGTTTAAGCAAATTTAGTTGAGAACAACCCATTGTAGGTTTGGTTTCACACCATACCATTTACTCTACCAAGGGTGGAATTAAAAATGGTGGAGTTGATGCTTATAACAACAATGTCAGGAAGGCTAAAAGATAGGTTGTTGGGGGTCCAATGGCCATTTAGGAGGTAGGAGGACACTAGCATATTCTCATCCTTCCTGTTTAGGGGGCAACTGACCAAGGTTCTCAAGGGTTCCATGTTTTGCATCCTGTAAAGGTTGACTCTATCCCCTTTTCCACGTAGTAGCCTTATTGCTCACATTTCACCCATTCCTAATGATGAGCCAAGTCCTAGGGCAATGTGACTAGTGGGGTGCTTACTAGTACATTGTTTATGAAATAGGAGTCTAACCCACAGAGCATTTGGATTATTATACATTCTCCATGCAAGTCCTACATGGGTTGCACTGTTCCTAAGATCAGTTCTATGCATACCAAGGCCTCCCTTCCTCTTTAGATTTATTGATAATACCCACCCTACTAGGTGTATTTTCCTTTTGACAGCAGTTGTCCCCTAGATAAAATTTCTCTGTATATTATCAACTTGTTTGCACACCTAGGCAGGTAACTTAATATGTTGCATAACATGGTTGGGGATGTACCCTCTCCCCTCCCCCACTCCCCGAAGACTTAGCTAGAGTGGTTCTCCTAACCATGTTCATGAAGTGGGTTTTCCAACCTGCTAGCTTGGTCTTCATGCTTTCTATAATGAATAGAAAATCTCTATTGGTAGGCCTCTTATGAAAAATGTGAATCCTAGGTACTTACAAAAAGATTTATTAGCCTTGATGTCTATTACCCTAGACAATCTATCTATTGTATCTTGGTGGTATTTTGAGGAAAAGACAACTTTAAAGATATCCCATAACACCAGTCGGGCCTGTTGATTATATATTTACATGCTGG